AAGCAACATGTAGTAACCACCCTCTTTAGATCTCTTAGTAAATCTGTAAAGATGTTTGGGCAAGAAAAAACGGAGAGGAAATTTATGTTTATGGATGTATTAGCATTACTTTTATTAGTATTGTACATCGTTTTTGGATGCGTGCGAGGTTCCCCCTTCGACATCGGCTTTATATTGTGCGACGCGGAGATGACGTAATGTGATTCAAAGAGTTTTTGGGGGCTGAATATCATTATCGGATGTGAATAGGCGAGATTACGTGTGAGATAGATTTTAGAGAGGTGGGGGTGGTTGGTGTGTTCGAGAACGATGGTGGCGGTGGCGGCGTTTCTGGACGCAGGGGTTGGGGGCGGCGTCGGAGTGGTAGACGGCTGTGTTCGTGGGAAGGGTGGGAGGAATGATGCTGTTGCTGCAGCGGCAACAACAGGTACATTTTGGGGGGATGATGTAGGCAGGACCGTATTCAACAAGTTTCTACAGATTTCGTTTGTTTTTTTTTTAACTTTCATTATTTATATACTTCTTTTTAATCAATTATAGTGTCAACTATAAAATAAATTAAATCTAACAAATCTTAATTTAAACTTTTTTCTTTCAGTTAGATAATTTAAATACACTATAACTTGAAGACTGAAGCAAATCGTAAACACTGGAAATTAAATTAACACTGGTTTATTAACTAATATTGACTAATGAAACACGAATAAAAATGTACAATAATTTTGAGGGCAACAATGGTTGTGAAACGTGGCAACAATGTACACCACGAAGTTGGCGAAGAACGCTTAGCTCGGAGAAGTTAAGCATGGACGAGATCAGTATTAGTTAAGAAGAATATTCGTTAAGTAGTTTAAGTGACAGTATTAGTTTAGTAGTTGAATAAAATCTTACATAAGAATTGTATTAAGTATAGAAGTGTAAGATGTAGTTAATAATGATTTTTTTTTTCATTCTCATGCACAACTTGGTCCTTCGTCCAAAACAGTAAACTTTTCGAGATCAAGTAAAGTTCAATAAAAAAAAGAAAAAAAATTCGTAAACCTATTCAATTTACTAAATATAAGACTAAATATTTATACAATTGTTTTCAATTAGTATTTAAATTAATATAATTATTTATTTACGAACATAATTGTAAAATATATTTTATTAACTCGTAACTAAATTGAACGAATTTATTCGATTTTAATAAATAATTGTTGTATAAATATATGTATTATTCAAGACTATTTATGATATAATCATAAAAATCTTTTTTTTAAGTAATTTTCTGTGAAAAATTTTGAATAAAAATTTTAAAAAGTGGTTATTAATTAGTATTATTTATACAAATGAAAAGATGCGGGTTTAATTGAAATATTATGTAAATAAATGTAAGAGAATTATATAAAATCTACGCAGATTTATTGTTAATTTAATAATATATACAACGTTCAGTTTCAATGGAAAATATCTTTTCGCGCGTTACGTAATTAATGAGATCATTGTTTAGATGCGTCATATACCAAATGCTATACAATCCATTATTCCATTACATGTCTTTGAGTATAGTTCGTATACATAATTACACTTATAATTTATATAATGGTCATGTAATCAAATATATGAAGCAAAATATATTTCTGAAAATTATTCATTATGTAATCATTTCATTTATTTCAACTTACTTTAATCATAACAATATTTTATCAAAAAGTTTTATTCTTTAACTAAATAATTAGTGAAATTAAAATATTAATGATTAAATTATTATTTATATAAATGATTATAGAAGATTCTTCATGTTTTTAATTATCTTGTCTAAATCATTTACTGAAAAATAATCATTATTTAATAATTAAAATTCATTAATAACAGTAAGAATATAGATCAGAGGTCGGAAAACCGATGTAAATTACCCCAAAATGGGGTAAATAAAATACATTATTGGGGGTAAGAAGGACGTTTATCAATTAAAATATTGTAAACAACAACTAAAATATTGTTTTTCATGTTAACAGCTGCAAACACTTTTTCTCTCTTTCAAATCAATGGGGTAAATTTTGGGGTAATAAGTAAAGAACTTTCACGATCCCTGCTTTTATTACAAATATTGAGGTTGTGATTTTTTTTATAAGATAGTAAGAAAAAATATATAAAAATAAATGTTAATTAATAATTTCAAATTTTTTAATTATTAATACATTTATAATAAAACAAAAGTTCACAATTCATTAATATATAGCGTTCTATGTTATTTATAGATCTGATTAATGTATTTGTTAATATGTCAAATTTTCAAATGAATTATAACCTAATTACTATTGTGAAAAAACAAACCTGCAAATCTGATGGGTTTAATATTGTTGAACTTCATTAGTTTATTTGTTAATTAACGTATTTTTACTATAATTTGCTTGTTTTTACGTATAAAAAAAACAACTTACAATTAGGGTGTATCTTGTCATCTTTCACATAATATTAGAACAACAATAATTTTCTTGCATCTGTTACAATTACATAAATAATAGAGTGCGAAATAAGCAAAAAAAACACTTAAATAATTACAACGAGATATTGTTTGTTTTAATATACAGTGATAACTCGATATACGAGTGTTTTGAAATACGAGCCGCCGAGCGAACGATATTTTGCTTTGAGATACGAGCAATTTGACATATGAGCAAAGTTACGGAACGAATTAAACTCGTATGTCGAGTATGTAGCATTGTATATTGTGTTGGCAACTAAGTGATTGAATAATACAATAAAATATGTCTGAAATGCGCGTCTTCTTCTTGCATTTTAATACTGGGATAAAAACAAAACAAAATAACTAATCGATACATTTTTTTGTTACTAAATTAATGATGGAAGTCTAAACAATAAGAAAACTATATGTTAGGACAAAATTCTCAATCACTTAGTTCCAACCTAATAGACTAAGTCCCTAAATTAAAACGAATTGAAGTAACATTGATTATTCTTTGTAATCTATAATATTTATTTCTGCAAAATGTCATATAATTTAGTCCGGTTAACGTTCGAAATAAATATGGCATTATTATTTTCGCGGTCTTCTCAGTATGGTTACAGGAATAGTTCTGTGTCTGTTGTTAATCATAATACAGTGGGCTCTGGTTTGGTTTGACTACGGGCCTGCACGAAGTGGTGGTGGAGGTGGTGGTGTGGCGGCAGCGGCGGCGGTGGGCTCAGGTGAGCTATTGCATGCATCAGGTTGTATGTGCCAGAGAGAGGTGGGGGCGGCGGCGGTGGCAGCGTTGGATGATGGAGAAGGGATGTCGGCGGGGTGTGGGCGGCGGCGCTGGCGGCGGCAATCAGGTAGGGGGAAAGGACGTCGTCGTCGTCGTTGCAAGGCGCAACCGCGCGCGCAATAAGGTTGCTTTGCTCCTGCTGCTCTGGTGCCGGCTACGTAATGGGCAAGTTCCTGCTGCCACAGTCCGGGCGAGATAGCCAGCGAGTGCGGCGGTCCTCAACATCAAAACCTCTCAACTTCCTACGAACTATAAACTCACTCTTATTACAACCGTGAACATCACCTCAGTTTACCAAAAAAAAAAAAAAAATAATAACAACTCTTAGATCCAGAAAATAGTAATACTACCTACAAAACAGTGTCCTAAACCTTTCACCTAAATCCTCTGTACTGAAGCAGACCGATACTAAAAAAAAAAATCAAAATTTTTCCGCAAAATTCGAAGTACCACAGCCCAGATATTGAAACGAATATATCGACAACAACATCAAAAAAAAATAATTGCAAAGAACTTCGGAAACGCGCGTCTACCTGTCGTCTTTAAAACTAAAAGTTTAAACGCTCTATTCTCTAATTCTCTTTGTATCTCTTTGTAACGTTTCGACCGAGTGCTCCTCTAATGTCAAAGTGAAGCTACCCTGAAACCAAGGTAATAAAACAAATCAAGACATTCTTCTAATTTAGAATAACGCGATTACAAGAACGAACTAATCAAAAAGAAAAGAAAAGCCCGCGAACGAATCAGAAAAATCGCGTTCCTTGTTTCAAGTACAAATCGAATTAAAGATATTTAAAATAAACATATATTTTTTTAAAAATAATAAAAAAATAAAATAAAATAATTTAAAAAAAAAAGTTAAATTTGAAGGTAATATTTTGAGTTGAGCGTTTTGACGACACAGGCGACGCCGTCTTGTCCAAGAAGAATTAATGACAATCATTGAATCGTAGTTTACGTAAGTCTTTAAGATAAAGTTAAGAGTAAATTAAAAAAGTAAAAGAAAAAAAAGAAGTTAAATTATATATATAAAAAAAAAATAAAAATATTATATAAAGAAGTCCGTGTGAGATAGTTTAGCTATTCGATTGTGTAATAACGCTGCTCGTGTGTTGTTGCTCGGTCGAGGCAAGTTTCTTGACCTCCTCAACTTGACTCTTGAGCAGCGTGCTCACACAACAACCACACGCCGTCCTTACTTAACCCATTGGAAAAGAGGAAGAAAGGGCCAGTGCAATATTACCACGTCTACTATACGTACGCAATATATAAAATATATCTTATACATAGTTGTATTACATAATCTATCAATGTCACACTCGCAATCAAGTCAATATCGTAGTTGTACTCATCTCTGTTAGACGACAATCAAAACTTTTTGTATATATACATAAAAAATATATATATATTCTCGTTACGAAAAGAAATAATACAAAAAAACCCTTCATTTCCTACGCGTTTCAATTAACTTTGAAGAGGGAAAAAGAAAGGAAACAAAATATACCTAACATATCTTATTTATATAAAAATTTAAATAAATTGATAGACAATCAACTGTTCCCTTCGAAGATCTAATCCACTTGAATAAGAAAGGTTGTGCGTTACCCCAGTATTAGATAAAATAACGAGAGGAAATTTATATCTATACATATTAAATAAATTTAGGTAAATTAATATATATATATTTATTTAATTGGTAAATATTAAGAAGCAGATATTTATTATTATACTAAATCAAAAAAAAATATAAATAATAATATTGATAATACATATCTCTTTTTAGCTCGTAATTTTGCTCGAACAATCAAGTAAAAAAAAATAATCAAATTTTGTAAAGCAATATTTAATTGCTTATTGTTATTATAACTATTATAATACTGACAATCGCGATTGAGACAATCGTGTCGAGGTTAGTGGTCCTGGTTCCGGGAGGTCTGGCAGCAGCAGCAGAAGTTGCTGTTGGTGGTAGTACGAACCCGTTTGGTTCGAATTCCGTTTGGTTTGGTGCGGGCCCGGCTCGTCCGCCGAAGGTCCGATCCGACGTAACCACGACGTACTATCTAAACCCGACGACCACCGCCACCCAAATTCCCTACGTAGTGCCCTTGACATATCCCACAATCCTACCCTGTCCAGAGCTGACGCCCTCGCAGACGGCCGCCCTTTACCATCACCATCATCACCAGCAGCAGTGCCCCAGTTACCCTTGTCCCTGCAGCCAATGCTCCCCTCACATGTACTCTGCTAACCAGCTGGCGGCGCCCCCGAATACACTCATCGTCAACAGATTCACCGAGATCAACTACTTCGACAACCCCACGGCCGCATCTCCAGACAAACTGGTCGCTTACGACATGGTAAGATTACTAACATACTAAATACTATTATACATTACATTCTATTTACTCCATGTAACATAAACATTAATCATCATCACATCTACTACAATACATCTAAAACATCATGTAATAACAACTATTTGGTTGGTGCATAATTATAAGTCGCTTTATAGGCGAGGTTGCTCTTTGCAAATGGCAAGCAGTTATTGAAGAATATTTATGTTTCTTTTTCATAATAAATATTGTTTCAAAAACGCCTAATTAAAATAAACTCTTATACATATAGATGAGAATCCCAATAATTTAATTTTATAAAAAATGTACACACTTTTATTTAGAAAAAACTCCAGTTTTCAAATATATATTTGATAAAAAAACATTATAGATGAAACACATACCAGTTTTATACTATTACAGATCTAAAACATCATCGTATATAATTTCGTAAAATTACTCTACTTTCCAATCTTAATAATATAATTGTTACCTTATGTCGTAAGTAAATTACGAACTAAAGTATCGTACAAAGATATTCCCTTTCAACATCATCTTGTATTATTTAGTTAAATAACTATTTTCCACTACTAAATGTTATAAGTAATATATGGATATTAACTTGTAGATAAAAAAAAACTTAAGAGTTTCATTCTATAACATCTTGTTATATAAAAAATTGAACAATCTATAACACAAAGTTATGAACATCATTATGTATTACTTTATAAAATGACTCTACTTTTCACTAAAATAAATATTAATGTTACAAGTAATATTATTATTACCTTGCAAATATAAAATACTTAACAGTTTAATTTTATAACATCTCGTTACAAGTAAATCATCGTACAAAAATATGAACACCATTATGTATTGTTTTTTGCAAAATGAATCTATTTTCCAATATAAAATATTAAATGTGAATGTTACAAGTAATTAAATTATTGCCTTGCAGATAAAAAAAAAACTGAACAGTTTCAATCTTTATCACTTACTTGTTACATGCCAATTAATAAGGAAAGTATTGCACAATGTTGTGAATATCATTGTGTATTATTTTTGTAAAATGACTTGTTACTTGTTACATTTAAATTAAGGAGGATAGTATCGCACAGAGTTATTAACATCATTGAGTAAAAGTTTTGTAAAATGACTATACTTTCCAATATACTAAATGTTAATGTTACAAATAATAAAATTATTATCTTGCAGTTAAAAAAACTGAACAGTTTCAATTTTTATCACTTACTTGTTACATGTTGTTGCAACTAAAACTGAACCGTTTCATTCTAATATTACTAACATATTTTGAAAAGAATTACAATCTTTGCGAACGTCCTCATTATTCCCAAGAATTTCATTTTTACCCCATTCGGAGTTACATGTTAATTAACAACTAAAGCATTTCCCATATATATTCCATCTGGGACATCATCATATATTACTCTACTTTCTAATCCATCTCTAAACGTCTATAATATAAGTATTATAATTTATATATGCAAAAAAAAACATAACAGTATCATTATAAAACCATATGTTAAGTGCCACGTAAATTATTTATAGTTGTGTAAGTCAAAAGGGAAAATCCACATACATTACAAATTTCGTTATGTGTCGTAATAATAATAATAATAATAAAAGAAACGGTAATTAAATCTATAAGAATCGGCGTAAAATTGAAACAAGTTTCATTAGATTTCGCAAAATATTACTAAACATATTTCAAATTTAAAGCAAAAAAATAATAATATTTTACAAAAAAACTACTTTCATTTATAATAGTAGAATTGTTTCTATTATTGATAAAGTTTGAGTTTACTGAAATAAATTAGACTTTAATTATTTCTTATTTTAAGAAGTAACTAAAATAAAAGAACAACTTTATAAGTATTGACAACATCTGGTCAGAAGGAAACTTCCATATAAATAATCGTTTTTCGTTTCCATTAGAATTCAAACACAAATGTAGTTTATTTATCTTTGAAAGTCCTTGAATTAAACATTACTTTGGTTGTATCATTAAGTATATTTCATATTTCAATTTAGATTATGTTTTTCTTTAAAACAATTTACAAAAGAAATAATTCAAGATATGGATTTAACAATTAACTTCTTTGTTATTTCATGTATAAAATTAATATTAGTTATATTAAATGAAAATATAATAAACTGTACTAGTACAATGTATTTTAATGAGAATATCTTTGTAACTTGGTGCTTTGGTAAGAGTGGTTGGATCGATAGTAATTTGCATGTTATAGGCCATAAAGATTGTTTTTCATTAAATTTATATATTCATCATTTAATCACGAATATATTACAAATACTAACATTTACTGCTCCCTCGGAACAAATTAAAAAACATAAAAAAAAACTACTAAAAACGAAAATAAATCCAAGAAGCAGTAGAAAAATGTTCAATCTTATTTCCAAGAATTCGATTTATATAATTGATTGCTGAGAGTAGTATTACTTACCAAGTAAAAGAAATCTGAAGAAGACGAAAAAAAAAGGATGAAACTCAAAGGACATCTCCTTTGCATATGCATCGACTGCGGAGAGCTTTAATACCATCAATGGGTGCAGGACTTTCATCTCTCTTTCTTCGAAAACTTTTGCGGACATTCCATGATCATAATTAAATATGAAAACGAGAAAATAAACAAACAGCAAAAACACACAAAAAAACGTAACAATTAGCGAAATTGAAGCTCTCCGCTATTTACGGAGCGAATTACGTAACGCAACGTCGAATTAAATTACGTTTGTAATTAATTACGACTTCCATTTTATATAAATAAATATGCGTACATACAAACAATTAGTACGCTCAATTAATAATGCGTATTATTGTTTCAGTTTCAGTTAATTCATTAAATCAATACTTAAATTTTGTTTTTTATAATTATTATTATTTTTGGATCGGAATTTAGTAAAATACACGAAAAGTGTTATAATTTTAAAGTGAAACCTATTGCTTTTCGTTTTGGCAGCGTGCAGAGAAAGATGTAAATCGCTTACTTCTTGACAAGTTAATAATTAGTTGGGTGACAACTGAAATACACATATAGATTATGCGAAGGTTTTCAAAATCTATAGGTTTTTTTTCGTTTCAATGTTGTTTTTGTAACAGTTTTCAAACATGAGCATTGTTTCGGGGAAAACTGAAATTATGTGCGGCTATCTGGAAGCCGGTTTTTTTGTCTTCTCTTTTTCCCTCTGTTTTGAAAGTAAAAGAAAAGCATAGGAGGTTGTCGAGTTTTAAATTAGTAACACAACTTGTTTACACGAAACGTCCAAGTTTACCGGGTCTATATTTAGATGCTGACAGTTTATACACTCCGCCTCAACTCGACGAAACTAGCTGGTCTCCTCTCTTTCTCGCCCTATCACCTTCTTCCAACTAGGGTAAATTCAGTTCATTCACATCAAAACACGACGCTACAAAAATGTATACGTTTTGTTCGTGTTTCACTTTTTTTTTATATTCTTATCATCGTATTTGTTTCGTTGTGTAATTATGTTACAAATTGGAGAAGAAAAATTGGTGCGTTTTGCTAATTGAATTATGTTTTGTATAATTGCGTTTCTCTATTCTTCATTTGAAGCTTTCTCCAATTTAAAAAAAATAAATGAGACTACTTCTCTCTTTATTTTCTATATAATTAATTCTCAGTTTTGAACGTATATGTAACAGATTTTTATGAAAACAAAATCATCATAAGTGCGAATGATCGTAAGTTGAAATAGTCGTAAATCGAGGAATTACTGTAGTAATTAGGGCAGTTACGCATGGTTGTAATTAGAATTTGTTAATGTTTCTTGATATTAACATAAATCTTTATATAAGTTTACTTCCCTTTTTATTTTTTATGTAGTCAATTTTTGTCTATGTATGTAAGTCGAAATGTTCGTATGTTAAATCAATAAAATGTTATGTATCAGCTTTAATTTCATTGTAATTGCGAAATAATCGTAAATCAATAAATTAATGAATTGAAAAATGAGGAAATATTGGTTGTAACTAAAATTGACATAATTCTTTGCAAATTTAATAGTTAAATGAAACCACATTTCTCTATATTTTCTACATAATTCATTCGTGTCCTCGAACGTAAGTCGAAATTTTCGTAAGTTGAAAATATAATTATATTTACATATTAACATTAAGAGATTTTGTTTTTGGTCTGAAACAATCATCGTAAAAGCAAATGGTCGTAAGTCGAAATAATCGTAAATAGAGAAAAGATGAATTGTTGAAAGCACGGTTCCAACTACAATTTGGTTAATTAACAGAATTCTTAATTTGAAGCTTTCGCTAATTTGAGAATAAAAAGAGACCTACTTGTCAATTATATGTAAACATCAGCATTAATAGATTTTGTTTCTGATTTAAAAATATCATTGTAAGTGTGAATGGTCGTAAGTCGAAATATTTGTAAATCGAGAAATGACTATGGAAAAAAAAAGTAAATTTTGGAAGCATGGTTTTAACTATAATTTGGTTAGTTAACATAATTCTTCATTTGAAGCTTTAGCTGTTTTCGGAATATATGGAAACCTACTTGTCTCTTTCTTTTTCATATAATAAATTCTAGGTTTTGAACGTTAGTCGAAATGTTCGTAACTTGAATAAATTCAATTATATCTACATATCATCATTAATAGATTTTATTTTTAATTTAAAGAAATAATAATAAGTGCGAATAAGTCGTAAGTCGAAATAATTGTAAATCGAGAAATTGCTGTATGGAGAAATTCTTTTAAAGAATGACCAATTTGAAAATAAAATGAGACATACTTGTATCTTTACATTTTATAGTCAATTCTCGTTTTTGACGTAAGTGTGAATGGTCGTAAGTCGAAATAAACGTAATTAGATAAATTACTGTTTAGAAAAAAGATTAATTTTTATAAGCATGGTTTTAACTAGAATTTGGTTAGTTAAAATAATTATTCATTTGAAGCTTTCGCCAGTCAATTCTCATTTTCGGACGTAAGTGTGAATGGTCGTAAGT